TGTTGATAGGTATTTGTATGTATGTTAGATGCACGCGATATCTCACGAAAGCGAGATTGAATCTGCTCCAGATTTTGCATGTGCATTCATCATATCTCGGACCAGAAGCCTATTGATTTTGGGCGAATTATGTCGTATAATTAGCGAGTTATTAATTAATTAGTGATGGGACACAAGGTGTCACTATGGAGTAAGAGCGCTGTTTTGGGGGATCCCCTAACTTTCGATCGATTAGTCTTCGGTCTCTGACCGATATATACTACAACATATACATAGTAAAATACCCCCCCCCCCCCTCAAAAAAGAAGAAGATAGAAGTACTTCCTAGAGAGGAATCCCTCCCCAGTTTGAAAACGTTGAAATAAGCGTTGCTAACAGTTAATATTACCCTACGTGGAACTCTGAATGATTCATAACAATCTCATAATGAAGAAAAATATTTTTAAATTTTCCTCGTGTTCTCAACAAAACTTTTTCAATTACCCTTCACTAAATAATAAATGGATGATTGATCAAATGTTGCCCCTCAACTTTTAACCTGCTAAATGGTACTTCAGTTCAAGTACTTGCAACTGTAAACCACTCTTACCAATGCTCGCCAGAAAGATTTTCCAATTATTGTTCACTGAGTTATGAATGGAAACTACGCAAATAAGTGTTGTATGAGAATGACCAATGAAACATTGCCCTTAACTTGCGGTCAAAGAACTTTTAACCTGGTTAGCGGTACTCCGGTAAAGTGTTAATTATCTATTCGTGAACGAAAACTACTCTTAACAACCGGAATTTCTTAATTATCGTTCACTAAATAATAAATGGATGACTAATCAAATGTTGCCTTCCACCTATGGTCAAAACTGTTTTAACCTGCTAAACGACACTATGGTAAAATGATAATTAAATACCTGCATCGGTAAACCGCTTTTATCAAGACTCCTCGCCACAAAGATTTTCCTATTAACGTTCACTGAATAATGAATGGAAACTATGCAAATAAGCGTAGTATATGAAAATGACTAATGAAATATTGCCTTCAACTTTTGGTCAACGTACTTTTAACCTGCCAAACGGTTTTTCGGTAAAATGTTAATTTAAGTACCCGTAAACGAAAACTACTCTTAACAATAGATTTTCACAATTATTGTTCACTGAATAATGAATGGATGACAAATCATATGTTGCTCTCGACTTTTGGTCAACGAACTTTTAACCTGCTCAACGGAACTTTGGTGAAATGTTAATTAAGTACCTGTATCTGTAAACCACTCTTACCAAAGCTCGCCATAAAGATTTTCCAATGATCGTTCACTCAATAATGAATGGAATAGCTCCTCAAATGATAATAGATACCAGTGGCTGACTGCACAGGGCCTTGTTCTAAGCGAAATGAGCAAATGAAATAGTATAAAATATGCACATATGCACATGGAGACCTCTCTCAAGTATCAACTGAGATAAATATTACGGTATAAATATTCTGTATTTTTGATGACCTTATCTGTAGTGTACGCCAGGGGTAGACAATTATTTTTTAAAATGGGGACCCTTTTTCGTAGAACTTGCGTTACAAAAACTCTCTCAGAATTTAACCTGAAAGTATACGAGCGGAACGTATAAAAACCGCCACCGGGCTAGACCAACCGTTATAAACCCCGCCTTCTTGTCTACCCCTCCCTATAAGCGTTTGTCTGCTTTATAATTTTGAAACATAAACTTTTATTTTTGATTTCTAATAGATAACACCAATGACATTAAGGCAGACCAAATTAAGGAACATTTTCAGTGAGCTCGCCACGAAGTTTTCCAGTTAACCTTCGATAAATAATGAATAGAGTATCTCCTTATGTGGTGGTATAAGTCAGTGGTTTCTTGCACAGATTCTTGTTCGGAGACGGGGTTAGTATTACGCACTGTATTTTTGATGACCGTGCCCCTATGATATAGATCAGGGATTGGCAAGGTTTTCAAATCAGGGGTCAAAAATTTTGCCCATACTCACCGGCGGGCCATGTAGGTGTGATGAAGAAAGTCAGATTTTATGAACAATGTTTACAGTGTTACAAAAGCAACAATGGAAAACAATAGGCCTCGTGCCAAATCTAAATTTAACCGCAATCAACAAATTCCTTGAGTTACTTTGAACTAAAACAGGGGTCACCAAACTACGGCCCGCGGGCCGGATCCGGCCCGCGACGTCATTTTATCCGGCCCGCGGCGTCATTTTATCCGGTCAGCAATAACACACAAAAATGGCTAAATTTTTTTCCAAGGAAGATTTTCACGATCATCGTCGTCTTTGTTTATATCGTAACATTGCCCAATCGGCAAGATGCAAAAAAGTGACGTAATAATAGGCCTTTCCGCATCCGCTCAGACACTTTTGTCACCCTGACAGATTTTCAGTCATGGTTGCAAACAAAACTTCGTTTTTGCGACTTTGAATGCTACCAGTACGTAACGTTTTCTGCGATACACTTGTACACTCGTGGCGCGTGCTTTCGACGAAACTGTATGTTTTTTTTTGTGCTAAAATAAACGTCGAATGTGCATTTTGTGCTAACAGTACTGTAATCCCTCGCGTACTGCTCCAATTTCAAAAGCCACACTAACTTTTGTACTGCTTTAATGCGGATATTCATGTAGGTATATGTTACAAAAAAATTGAAGTTCATCCGATTTAAATAAAAACTATTCCAGTGGAAAGATCTGAGTAAAAATAGAAAACAATACCAAGTTTATAATAAACGGTCAAGAAATAACGAAGATATCGGAATTTTAGTACCGCCTGACAGGCCAATTTTTTCATAATGATTGTATTACTTTTTTGATAAGAACTGAACTAAATATGGAAAAATAACACATATCAATCACTAATCTTTCGATGTGCGTCACATATATGGTAAATTGAGACTATTTCAGGATTTTATTCTGACAACGGTCATTGACACCGCCGAAAGATCGTCGCAAATAAACGCTGCAGTTGTGCATGATAGTTTGACAGTGGTTCATTGTGGGTAATAATTAACGGTGTTCTGATTGTACGAACTTCATAAAAATTGTATTAAGTTAGGAAAGAAATACACACGTCCACATAAATTTTATTGGTGTCCATAGACAATATCATTAATTTGAACTACGTATAACTGGAGCGTATTTTTTAAAAGCGTCGAATGTTGGCAAATTTATGCGCAAATGAAAAAAATCAAATACCAGATAATAGTTGTTTATTTTATCTAAATTATGTCAAAATTTCATAGAATTCCAAGCTACAGCAGTTAGTCGTTTTTATGAGCGGTATTTCAACACGGCGTAACGGTACCCAGCAGACGCGATGCCCACATTTTTTGCCGCGGATTTTGTAACATTTCTAATTCATGACAGCAACGTTTTGATAACAGCTAAACTCAGGATAGTTGTCTAGATATAGGAATCTTGTTATTTTTTTTCATAGGATGTTCTCGATCTATATTCTGCGATATTCCCAACATTTGTGAATTTATTGTATTGCATTGACAAAAATAATTATCCGGCCCGTTTCAACACAATTTGAGTCATACCCGGCCCGCGGTCAAAAAAGTTTGGTGACCCCTGAACTAAAACATCAAAAATTCGGTTTCAGATTGATTGTGGCAGCATCAGGCGGGCCAGATTGAATTAACCAACGGTCCGGATTTGGCCTGCTGGTCGTACTTTGCCCATGTCTGATATAGATGGACAGCCATTTTGCAATGGGAATACATCTTCTTTTCAGCTCACGCCAAAATTGCGATACAAAAATCTTAAACCAGAAAAAGTACACAAGCTAAGAACGAAATCTTTCAGGACCATGAAGGGACCGGGCCGACCATCATAAACACCGCCTCCCTATATACTCCACCTAACAGATATTTGTTTGCTTTATAATTTTACAGATTTAACATTTATTTTGATAACCCAGAGATAACACCAATGGCATTAAGGCAGTCTGAGTGTAACATTTTCACCAAGTTCAAAACATCAATTATTAAAACTCCAATTTCTCGACGAGTTGAAGAAAGTTACTGTACAAAACATTAGGTCGACACGGTAACATAAACAAATTTCATTTCAGAGTGACGTTGATGGACTGCGAATAACGACGAACATAACAAGCCAGTGGTTTTAAACCTTATATAACTCATGGCCCCTCCAGAGGCTTTCAGCATTCGTGGCCGCCTGTTTGTCAATACAGTAGTATTTATCGTGTTATTTTCATTGACAGATTACGAATTCCAGTCTGGTCAAATAATTCATGCTCAACAAATTGAAAACACCCTGTGAAATAACCTTGTCAAGCAATTAAAATGAGAAGAACAGGAAACAGAAATCAGTTTTGCGCTTGGCATCGTGGCCGCCTCCTACTGCTGTGTGGACCACGGGCCCTCCGGTTGGGAACCGCTGTGATAGTTGGAATTGCAATACACAGTCGTGCGAGTTTACGTATCCCACGCAAACTACGGGTTTAGATTCTTTATAACTTCTTCGTGGTGATGCAGGGCTACCAAAAACAGGACTAATTCTTAACTACTTATACAAAAATGAAGAAAATTTATCTGACAATTGAACTTTGTGCGTGTGAGTATGAGTGTTTCATACATAGATGACTAGTATTTTACGGCTAAAACTTAATCCCAAAATTACACCTTTCCTGAGCTTTATCTCCCAATAACGAACCCACGCATTGACGTAATAGCTTGACGCTGATTTTGAACATTGTTTTATTACGAGTTCTACACGCCCTTCATAACAGTATTTGTATATTTATCCAGATGCATGGACTTGATGGTGGAGGGAACCGTGACCGACCAGTTTTCGACTGTAAAAAGTAAGATAGATTACTGCTTCGCTTTGGTCTTCATGTCTATATGATGTGGTACATATTTCATATGTGATGTGGCTGGTATTGGGAGATCGTTGTTGCGCAATTGCCGGATTAAGCTTCAAATTTTTGATTTAATCAACCCCCTTTGACATAATCAAAATACTACACAAAAGGATTTTATTTTGTTCAGTCTTTGACTATTTAAACATTATATTATTGCACGTTAAAATCTAGTTCTAGTGTAAATACTATGCTAAGTACGTATGAATAAATTCTTGGCAGTAATCGTTCTGAACTAAGCTCCGGACAAGCGCCGGGACATTAGTCCTTCAGTATTTTTGTTACAACATTTTTGATGTGTGTAAGTGAAAATTATGATTCAATTCCATGCTTGGCTTTCGCAGTATCTTTGTGCAGAAGAAGTCTTTTGTGACCTTGGGCAAATGAATTGTAACTGTGCACAATATGAGAAGAGATGAATTTCAAACAAAAACAAAATGATAAATTGAGGAGTATGCAACCTTCCATACCGGAGTAACAGATACAAATACCAGGGTGAAACCGCGGGCCGCACCTTTATTTAACATAGGCTTTCTGGTAGTCGATGGCACAAAAATGTTGTTATTGATCTTATGACATGCTTTGTTTGCTTTGCACAAGTTGAATGGTAGGATATTGTAACGTCATGTGCATAGGTAATAAATCGGATTCAAATACAGACTTTGGGATTGGAATAACACGCACGTACCAGATAAAACTAAATTAAAAACTGTTTTGCGGACCGCACCCTTTTTAAAATTGTGACCTCTCCGAAGGTTGCACACTCCTCCCTGGGTTAAAGAAGACGATGGCCGGTTAGTTTAGAAAGGAAAAGCCAGGTTAATTCCGTCAACATTCTCTAACAATTATCTTCTAATATATATATATATAGAGAAGTCCTTTTAACTTCTCTCCAGACGAGTCAAGTCAGTAATTTAAAAAAGTCATAAAATAGATGCCTAATTGTTCAGAGCCGTTTCCAGAACGATAGAAAAACATTAATTAGTGTACCGTGGTGATAGAAATGCAAAACGATAATGCATATTTTGTGAAAAGATAGTTCATCAAAATGCAAATGCAAAAAAAATATACTCTATTTTGTATAGTGGAAAATAAATTGTGTAATAAAGAAACGAAACGACAAATTTAACTTGTACGTGAGCGCGATGGCCCACTTGTCAGGGCTTTGAATATAAGTATAATAAAATTGCAGGCCACCACCTCGCCAAGGGTACAATAAACGAATAAGCATTGTAGTACCGGGGAAGTTTCCAGTTGTTCCAATAATTGCTGGTTTAAAGTGGGAAGATGCTAAAATAAAATACCAAACATGCAAGTTTGCCCTAAGAACGATGAAGGCATCGGAGACATTATTGATAGGAATATTGCAAATGATTTGTCGTTCACCAATCACCATGTACCTGCTTGATCAGAGTTTCGTCCAGAACGATACGGGAAATATTAATTACCGTTCCGTGGTTATCGAAATGCAAAACTGTAATGCATATTTAGTGAGAAGTTAATTCAACGAAAAGTTCATTGCAAAAAAAATAAAATAAATAAATTGTGTAGTAAAAGAAACAAGATGGCCAATCATATTTAAGTGGACTCGATGGCCTCTGGTTGTCATATTAGAATTGCAGACTGTTAAAGTCCCATGCATATCGTATCTATGGTGTATCACACTGGGTAAGCGGTGCCTAGTCTCTACAAAATAGTAACTCCTCACATAACAGTGGCTGCTTATACAGAGCCCTGCTCTGAGTGAATGTGCAAGAAACATCGAATAAAAATATGTGTAAGCTTGTTCAAACAATGACGAAGGCATCGGAAATATTATTAATAGGAATATTGCATATAACCGCTAAAATATTGGGTGCTAAGTGTGTTTTTATCCGTAGTGCAAAGGAATGTAATAGTAGCAGTTAGCGTTGAAAAAGTCAGCAAAGCTTAAAGGGAGATTCCTTTTGATGGCAATAAATAGGGAATCAGTGATGGTTACGATAGACAAGATTGTGGTCAGGTCACATTTGTACAATTTTCACGTATTACGTATTTCACGTCAAGTATTGCTGAACCGTCGCACGATGGTTCACATACCTGCTGCTGAGTTGAGAATTTCCCCATGATAGTTTTTTTGTCTGAGACAATTGACTGTTACCCCTCGCCCCAAATCTGCAATGTGACGTCACTTTACTGTCACGACATCACTTTTATTTGATGTTTTCCCCATTTTTATTTTCATTTTTACTGATCCGTTCTCTTCGCTCCAGAAACATCAGTATTACGTAACTTTTGTGTCGCGGCGGTTGTGTCTTTTCTATGACGTATCTTGTGTGACTTTTATTTTGAAATTAGTCCACATTGATCGGACCAAAAGTAGGTGCACCAAGATGGCGCACAACCTGAACATAGTATGTGTACCAGGTTAGGGTTCAGGTTGTGCGCCATCTTGGTGCACATACTTTGGGAGCGCCCTTTGTTCTCCCCAAAACTGCATAGCCATGTCCATGTTTGTGCCATAGCGTCACTTTTATCGGCTTTTCTTCCATCAACTTTTATTTTTTGATAAATCCACTCTGCTGGCCCCGAAGCCTACATGGTGATACCACTTTTGTGTTATGGGCTTCAGGCATCAATTTTTTTACGTTCCCGTCGTTAACGTTCATTTTTTGATTAATTCACCCTCTCTTTTTCTGAAATTTGTATTGTGACGTCACTTTTGCGTAGGACTTAAGACAAGACCTAGCTCGCTCCAAATTCCGCTTGGTGGTGTGACTTTAGTTATATGACGTCTCACTATCACAAAAAGGCAATACGGACGCCATTTTTGTGTTATCGCGTCACTTTTCCTTGACGTTTTATTTTCCCGCATTTTTTCTTGAATATTTAACACGCCCTTTATAGATCGTGCACCGCTAGACTCGAAGAAGCGTTCACAACAGTTTTCAAGTCGTGTGATGTGCCCCACGTGATGTAGGTGCGACGAGAAGAACTTTTTGTAGAAATATGGAAACAGGTCCGATACCAGACATTCGTAATTTCCCCTTTTCTACAAACTTATACATAACAGCAAAAACTGCAATCAAAACGACGGATAGAAGGTATAACGGCTCTGGCTGGAATACTAATGGTACCGCTATCAAATATGCTGACACAAGTATAGCCATGACTGCTGTTGCCGTGTAGACCTGAAAAGTAAGCAGTACTTTATTATTGTGTATCTTTCGTACAAAGCACTAATGCAACGTTTCAAAATAACAAATTAGTAAATATCCAGTCGGGGTTAGGATTGATTCGAAATTCCTGCGCAATCTGCTTTCATAAACCTTACCTTAACTGGATATTCACACTAAGTCTCTTATTTTAAGCGTTGGCGAGGGTGTTTTTTTTTTGGGCGGGGGCTCTGAATAAAAGATTCTATTTATTTTTACCATACTGAAGATACCCTTATACAAACAAATATAATAAAGAAACGTACTTATGGCATTTTCGGGCGAGGGGGCGCGAAAAACAATACTGGTTATCGAGCATCGACACCCGCGATCCAATCTAACGGTAATTAATACAGGAGTGAAAAAAAGTCAAATTTCTACCATTGAAAAATGAAGAGATCGTTTCGGTTAGCGTGTAGGTCAAAACCACGATGGAAAGAAAGATGGGGGAAATATGTCACACTTATGGGGAATTCACACAATCGAAAGGAATTAAAGTTCGGGTCTAAAACCTCGCAATAATGTTATAAAATATAAATAGTGGAAAGTGACACGTATATGACAAATCAAATCGGACCGTTGATAAATTATTGTAGGTATTTTGGTCAATCCCATAGCTAAGTTCAAACATATAAAGTGTCCATGAAGTCTTGAAAATTTTTTAAAATTGCAAAGGGAATTTGAAGATACCGCATATTGTTTTGACCCTCACAGATGTATTAAATGAAGTAAAAATACTTAACAATTACTGATCAAAAAACAACAAACTCGGTTGAATTATATTGAGAACTTACTTCTTAACCGAATTAAATTTTTTTGGGACTTTATGGATACCCTATATGTCTGACTCTCCTGTGATTCTATTTCAGAGTTTAACCTAAAAACCCTCATAAGATAATACATAAATACATCTGCTATTTAAGCGTTTTAGCAGGGTTAAGTAGTGTTTGCATGTGAACAGTGTTCAACTGGATTTGACATAAAAAGCTCAAGAATATAATTTTTAAAAAAAGTGAATAGTTGCGAACTTGCCATGGTCTATGCAGAAAAATATTGCTATATCGATAACGTTGCCGACCTTTTTTTGAAACCTTCATCCATAAAATTTGTATGGCCCCATAGCGACATCTTCAAGTCAAAAGAAATATAGCTCTATCGACAGCGCTGCAGACCTGTTTTTTAAATTTTTATCCAAAAATTTGTATGGCCCCATAGCGACATCTCGAGGTTAAAAAATATCGCTCTATCGACAGCGTTGACGATTTTTTTTGGAATCTTCCCATAAAATTTGTATAGCCCCATAGCGACTTCTCGATGTTATAACATTTGAATACTTACTTTATAAGGTCTGTGAAGGTCTTTTCGTTTCACTCTGAGATACAGAAGTCCAATGAACGAGAGACCTCTGAATCCCCACATAGTGAACAGACTGGCAGTGACAAGAACGTCGAAATTGCTTTGAAGAAGCATTAATGCACCCAAGCCCATAGATATTAAGATAGCCGGAACAGGAGAGTAGTAACGGACATGCGCCATGGAGAGGAACTGAAAAATAGAAAAATAACATAACAATAAAAGTGCCCAATGCGTGCCAACGTTGCCATGAAAAGATCTTGAATTTCAGTCCTGTTCTGTCAGTTCGTGTTCAACACCTCAATCTGGTTGTAAAAAATTGGTTAGGCAGTGCTGAACCGAGAGGATCCCGATCTTTTTTAAAATAGTAGAACTCGCCATAACACCGCAGTAGTGTGAATTCGGTCAGTAATGGCCTTGTGCGAGAATATAACGGGCTACCTATCGTAGCACACCCAAGCAACGCCCGACAGGTTATTGAAATAAAATTTGAACCTAAAGAACGCAATATGCATCTGGGATACAGCTACGCCATAAAATTTCAACAGTTAAAAAACAATTGCTTCAAGAAGTAAAATGCAACAACAGTATGAGCTCCACCATACTACATGAATATGGGCTGCTCACTGGCAAATGCCCCCCCCCCCCCCCCCCCAAAAAAAAAAATAGCCAGATCATTCGGAACATATTCTAGAGAGAAAATAACTTTTGAACAAAGCGTCTTAGATTGCTGAAACTTTTGGGTATAATCATACATATAACCGGAAGTTGAAGTGTTAAATGAATTTTGACCATTTTCGTGGAGGTAATTAGGACATTCTGTTTCGTTTGGGATCACCCTGTATATCCCTGATTCTCGATGTCGGTGGCCTTAGTAATTGAAATCACCATAAGTAACACAAGAATCTCAAACCTCAGGCATATGTCCGAGTCGCCCCGCTACAAATGGTACCCTTGCCGTAGCCAGGAAGTGTCCGTTGATTGATCCAATCAGAGACATGCAAACAGAAAGCGTCATCAAATAGGCCAGGAATGGGTGAACACGCTGGCCGAATGTAACCGCTACTGCATGCGAGGATAACATCTCTGAAGGTGTCAAAACTGAAAGAGAAAGGAACATATATTTAGATAGATCTCTGGAATGAAACATACTTTCGGCCTTTCTATCTGTTATTTGTATCTCATTTTTAGCTAGTTATTTTTGAGGTCATGCGCGAGACTTGACGAATTCTAAAAAAAGAGCGCGACTAGAAAAGTTTGAGAACCCCTGTTCTAGAAAGACTCAAAATATCATACCAGCGATTCTCAAACATTCACGATTCGTTTCCCGCTTCCGAAAATCCCTAACGCTTGCGGCTCCCTGCACTTCGATAAAACTGCTTAGTTTTGCTTATAACGCGTCTCCATCAGTTAGTTTATGCGCCACGTTTTCAATTGGAATCAAATAAAACAAGAAAAAAAAAAATTGCATAGCAGTCAAAGTCTTAAACCAATTGATGTAGTACCTACGGCAAATGCCCTCCACCTATATCTATGAAGAAAACTCCCATTTATTTGTCTTTCTGGTAAGCAATTACAGAATTTTCAAAATGCAGACTATAGTCGGCTGGAATTTGGGACGGTAAATGTGCCTTACTAATCAAATTGGAATGAATTGAGCAATACAAATGTGGTGCAAGCAGCACTATAAATGCCTTCGATCGTGTAACCTCCCTTTCCGTGACCCAGTTTGAGACACTCACCTGAAAAATATGCCACGTTCACAATCATGTAGAGCAACGTTACCAGCGGAACAGCGATGATTGTTATAATCGGCAAAGATCGTGACGGGTTTTTGACCTCTTCAGTTACGATTGTAACAACTTCAAACCCATCATACGCCCATAGTCCTTGATATATTGCCAAACTTATTGCACTTATCCCAACTCCAGTTGAGACTAAATGACTGTTGCTAAAAAGAATGAAAAATTAAATTGTTAGTATGTAAAAGAAGGTATTTTAGTACAAAACGTAAGCTAGAGAATAGTGTTTATAGTCATAAACAGGAAAGTGTCACCGGGAGCGTCGTCGTACACGAAAATCGACCATTCAGTATTAACAATTCTTCTGAACCAACCAAAGTTAACACCAAACAATTTTCTGTAAATTTAGCCTTCAAGGAAGCAGCCTTAAGTTCCACTACAAAATATTTATATTTGATTGGTCTAATATAGTGGTTTCCAACAATTTTTATAGTTCGTGGCCCCCTTTCCCGAACATTTCAGTACTCATGGCCCTCTGTTTATCATTCTAGTGGTATTAATAGTGTTATTGTGATTGATAGATTTCAAATCCCTTTATGTCCGAACAATTCATGCTCAACAAAGTTGAATCTCTCTTTGAAATAAGAATTAGAAAAAGTAGTTTTCTTGTAAAGGGAAATGTAAAATCAGTTTTGCGTCTAAGATCGTAGCCCCATTCAACTGCTCTGTGGTTCCCTGGTAGGCCACCGGCTGGACTTCTTGTCTCCACTCTCCATAGAAACAACAATATGAGAACCAATATTGGAAACATGTTGGTAAACCATAGGCAGTGCTACGGAATCAGGAAAAAAATAAGCGACCAAGAATTCGGTTCAGAAATCATTCTCGCTCCGAATCCAGTCCCGGACTCTATAAGAAAATCGAGTTTTGATAATAAAAGCCTCGCCGAATGCAGGCATTCTTTAATGAGCCATTGATATGACTTAATAAACTTGTTGTTTTCTTGTGTTTTAAGAGAAAGTTTTGACCTATTTTATCACCATAATTCATATTCTGATTGCCGACTAAAAGAAGTTAAAAAATTCGATTCGACTCCAGGGAAACATGCAAAACTCCGACGCCATGTTCGTATGGGGACGCTTATAATGAACATGTTATTTTCGAATGTCAGTTGCCTATTCTCCAATAGTTCAAGAATAACGCAAAAAATTAGTTACTCGGATAAAAGACAATATTTCCGCACGAGGAAACTTTCTCACAAAGTGACGGATAAGAAATTGAACTCCGAACTTTAACAAACCGCCAATACAAAATTGCCAAATTGACATTTGGATCGAGATTGCAAACTTAAAGAAAGCGGTTTTGCAGTTTTAGGTTTTTATTTTTAATATAAGTCTTTCGGGAATTACCTATTTACAATACTGATGGACTGCTATACAAGCGTTAATGATGCAAAATAAACCTATCGTTCGGTAATTTCACATCTTTCCTAGCAGTCTGAAGTCAAATCTGCGTATATATCCCTTTATGAACGTTTGAATAAATCCGCTCAAAAAATTTGGAAATGAGAGAACTGGGAATGTTTGAAAACGACTTATCCGCGCGAGACATCACAGAGAATAACACGAAGTTCATACGGGCCTACATACTTTAATATTCTTCGTCGATGTCAAACTATATTTGCAATATATTATGAATTATTTAGTTTTAGCTGTTTTCATATTCATAATATTTATGATGAATAAGATCATAATTTTATCCGAAAATGTAATGTCGAGCTTGCCAATTCAGTCAGGTAATGGCGACGGCCTAATTCCCCGATTCTCAACCAGTGGACCCTGGCCTACAGAAACATTTGATTGGCCACAAACCTATAAAAAATTGCTAGAGGTATTGATAAATTAGTTAAACTTTGATTGCAGTAGCAATGAATGATGATGCTGTTTTTGCTACCGAGTGGTAATTATCATTTTGATTATTATAGTAGATGTGTCTATCTTTTATAAAATAATTTTTTTGCTGTTTCTGTCGTTTTTCCTCTGCATGGGTAAGGTAATGGGTCACAGAATTGTTTTTACAATAAAAGTGGGTCACAAAAAAGTTGAGAGCCACTGGCCCAACCCCAGTGGCTAGGGGCCTCTCAAATTAGCTTATAGGTCTCTAAATCTGGCCCTACCTGTATAGTGTAATAAATTGGATAGGCAATACCAAACTGGAAAGATTCCTTCCAGAAATATTATTTCTTTACATATTGTTAAATATCAGTGGCTGCCTGTACATGACCTTGTTCGGAGTGAAATGCGTAAATAAGTGTCGTATATAAAAATGCATCATCTGATCTCTATAATATAGATCTGTTTTTTGTTGTTGTCATTTCACCATAATTTATTAGTGAGCATTGTGTAATTTCCATGATCTGTAACAATAGATGTCTCACCGAGACCTTGTTTATTTTCGTAACAATTGCAATTCAGCAAAAAACTTACAATGACGTAATAATTAGAATTAATGTCGCCGCTCAGGCATATATTCAAGCGCGGTTGTAAACATTGTCTCGTTTTGGTAGTTTTGCGTGGTATTTTACAGTTTTTCGTTGCGTTTAAAATTTTACAACTATAACGTATAGGGTGAATTTTTCAGAGGTCAAGTGCCGGGTTAACGTTCATTTTATTACCTTTCAGTCAAGAAGCTTGCGTTCGCTGGTCCAGGCATAAAATTATTTCTGGCAACGGTGCTGTCTTTCATCAGTTGAATGAATCCGACTGTCGATATTCCAACTAGAGCAACGACTTTTCCAAAAGCACAGAAAATCTGAAAAAAAAAAATGGAGTTAGTTTAATTAGTGAGACGGGTGTGGCTAGTACTATGACATGATATCTATCCCGAGCTAGTACCACAGTCACGGCTGCCATCGATATGAACCCAAAAATAAGGACATCCGGCATACATAATAACAAGACAAGCCGGTAGGCGCACAGGATATCCGCTGATAGTTGAGGCCCTCACTCGGGCAACCGGTTACCATCTATAGAAACTTGCGCAGTTACCGAAATTGCCTGTTCATTTTGAACGCTGTGCGTCTGCTTTTCATCGTTGCGTGAGGAATAAAATGTGACTAATTATTGAAACATGTTCACTAAAATTCCTAAGGCTTCGCCAGTTTATAGAGTATCGAGATGAATGGCGGCTTGTTAGACAAAGCACTTTCCTCCGCAAAAGGTAGCAATCTCAGAATTTTAATTTTCGACTTAATTTACGAGGAAATTGCGAAAGAATGTAAAAAAATAGAAATTTCTCCACAATCGGATGTTTTTTGCTTGGTGCCATGGAAACGAAAAATCAATCCAGCCTTTCGAGGAAACGCATATTACTAGGATGATAGGTTAACCTACATGAGAAATTTCATCCAAAATGATCTAGCCGTTTAGAGCAGGGGTTCCCAACCTTTTTACGTTCTCGTACCACTTGGGCACCACGATTTGTCAACATGTACCACTATTTTCGAAACAGCTAATTTGATACAAATTTTACAAAACCAATTTATTATGATAACATGATAAATCAGGATGTAAATTTAACGAATGTACCAAAATTACCAATCAGAATAAACAACGAAAAGTGCACGGCTAAATTTAATGGGATTTTTGTTTTTGTTTGTCTTGCGCCAGCTGATCGATGCGCGGCATAACGTTGCTAATAGCACATCTGAAGTCATGTCCGGGGGCACTTAGTCGGTTTCGATTTTTTGATTTGATGTTCATAAGAATAGAAAATCCCTGCTCACATTCCCAAGTAGAAGGAAAAATCAGTAGTTGTGGAATAGCGTGAGAAGCTAGCGTTGGGTATGAAGAAGCCATACTAAGCCAAAAGTTTATTGCAGAATATTCTTTGCATTGTTTTTTTGCTTCCAGATCCTCCTGTATGTCTATCAGTTCCTCTTGTTCCCCTGTACCAACAAGTAGGTCGGCTGGGTCCACTGAGAAAGGATCTGTGACGTATGGGCAGCATGAGGTATCTGGAAAGTAATGCTGCAATTCAGCAGTTAGCAGCGAGAGGTGCTGGGTAATTTCTCTGGACAAGTCATCACTGATTTCTATTTCAAGGGCTGACAGAAATTTAAACATACCATAGCGCTTGTTTTCCACATTTTTTCTCCATAAATCAGCTTTCTGATAAAGGCTCCCAGTTTTGAAACAAAGTCTGCGACTGTGCAGTTTTTCCCTTGAAATGACAAATTTAAGTGATTGAATGTTTCAAATATATCTGACAAATAAGCCAACTTCGCAATAAAATCCTCATCCTGCAGGTCGTTTTGAAAGTCATGGTCTTTCTGTTGGAAAAATAAAAGTAATTCATCCCTCATTTCAAAAAGACGTTTAGTTGTGTTTCCTCGAGAGAGCCAACGTACTTCTGTGTGATAAAGGAGACAAGAGTGATCAGAGCCGAGATCTTCGCAAAGAACCTTAAACAATCGAGTATTTAAAGCTGATGTTTTAACAAAATTTACGATTTTGATGACCCTGTTCAAGCACATTAACAAATTTGCAGGAAGAACTTTTGTGCAAAGAGCAAATCTGTGTATGAAACAGTGAACACTTACGACGCGAGGTGACACTGCTTTGACAAGGGCTTGAAATCCAGATTTTCTGCCGAGCATGGAGGGAGCCCCATCCGTGGTACATCCGACAAGATTTCCCCAATCTAATTCATTTTCCTTGAAAAAATTATCCAAAGAGTTGAAAATATCTTTTCCTTTTGATGTAGTAGACAGCTCATGATTCAACATTAATTCCGTTTTTACAGTATCGTTCTGAATAAAGCGGACGTAGGCAAGCAGTTGGCAGCAGTTTGTGACATCTGTCGATTCATCAAGTTGTAAGGCAAATCCAAACTTCGAATTTCTTACTCCTGCAATCACCTGGTCAGTAATATCAACTGACATTTCCTCGATGCGTCGTTTCACGGTATTGTTAGAAAGCGATACACTATCCAACTTTGCCGCTGACTCTTCTCCAATCAAATTTCTGACTAATATCTTAGCTGCAGGCAAAATAAGAGACTCTGCAATGACATGAGCTTTTTTGTGTTGGGCCACCAGAAGAGATACTTCGTAGGATGCCTTTACAATCCCCGCATTCTTTTGGTAAAACTGGCCTGTGTAATCCATGCGCTGTCTCTTCACGTTCTCCCCAAGTCGCTCAAAATAACTCTTATCTCGGTTCATCTTATCTGTATGATTGGTTTCAAGGTGTCGCTTAAGCAAACTTGGTTTCAAAGCTGCATTTGAAAGGGTTTTCATACAGATCACGCACTGAGGTAAGATATCTCCTCGATGTTCAATAGCAATGAAGCCATACTCAATATAATTTTCACTATACTTTCGCTTCGACATTTTAAAATACTTAGCCAAAACTTTGGCAAAGCAATCACAGGCGACGAGTTGGCTATTCTAACAAGAACTCTTGCAAAAGCGTCAATAAATAACATGATTGTGATGTCATATATATCGAATACAACAGAAAGCTGCACGCGTACCACCTGAAAAGCTCCCGCGTACCACTAGTGGTACGCGTACCACCGGTTGGGAATCCCTGGTTTAGAGGCTACATCTAAACAGATAGACAGATACGCAGACAGACAGAACGACTGAGAATAAGGGTCTCCCATAGAGCGGAGATCCAATAACAAAGAACGAAATGTAATAAACAAAATGTATTCATGCCAGTATGAGGCACGACCCATGTCGTAACATTTCTAGCAAATCAATTGTTCGAACTGTCGAATACAAGTATCCGGTATAAGTAAGAAGCTCTACTTCTAAAATAAAACAACAAATAAGGACAAATTCCGAAATTAGTACGTTTCTAAGGACAAAAATATTTCTAAGACAAAACCTTCAAAATAAAGGCAAATTTTAGAAATAAAGACGTTAAAGCAGTCCTGACTATATTGTAGGATTTGCCACACTATAGCATGCGATTTACCCCAAGGTGGTACTATATTGAGTAATACCGCCGCATTCTACATATAAATAAGGATTATAACTTGTTTCTCAATCCTTTTTAGCTTGAAACTGATCACACGCTATAGTAGCACCAAGGACTTGTCATTACAGCAAGACCATAATATTCTTAATGTTACACGGCTTTTATTGGACATAGTTACAACGGGATTCGCGCTCTTCCTGCATATTTAGCGTGGTAAACTTGTTTGTGACAATGGTGAATCGCGCTGCATTAGTTACAGCCAGTGGTGGGATTCAACCGGTTCTATAGAACCGTCTCACGGAATTTTATGAGATCATCGAACCGGTTAGCATTACTGGTTACTGTCAATGTTCTGTTTGTACCAGAACATGCTGAAAAATATAACTTTTGTGAAGTAACCGGCTGACAAAAAATTTGAATTCCACCACTGGTTACAGCCTCTCTTTAAATTATCTTGCATTTGTTACTGAATTAAATAGACAGTTATATTATTGCGTTGACTTGGTTGATGAAAATGCTGCGGCTGGACATGGACACCGCTATTCATTTTAGACTTGTTATTAACCTGGTTAGACAGTTCAATCTATTTAATGCGCACAACACGCCAGTGGTTAAATAAAGAACTATTTCAAATACCAATTCAGATTTCCACTAGTTCTTACATCTTACCAAAATTGTGAAAATTGGGACTTTTTCCAGTGTTTGGCGTCGCATAAAAATAAGAAAAGTTGCCTGTTTTTTCTCTCGGATACAAATCCCCCCCCCCTCATCTCACCCAGGGTGTAATAAATTCGGGAAGACACCAAACTGGAATGATTCCGGTAGTTCCATATAATAGTAGCTTTCTTTTTGGTGGCCTTATTCGGAGCGTCGCATAAAAAAAAGGAAAACTACCTGCAGTCTGACGGCCCATTTTACTTTCGTCATGTTTAACACCATAATCACCAATGCAACAGAAACGCCGAGTAACTTCTTCAGCAAAGTCGCGTTAGGAACTTCACATTTCCCAGCCTCAAAGTACAGTCTTGTCATGTATTCTCCAAGCGCTATAAACTGCGCAGCTAATCCCTCGGGTGCCGATACAACCACGGTCATCCAGGTAAATATAAATGATAATAGCGGTCCAAAGGAGTAGTGAATAAAAGTCATCCATGACCCTGATTCGGGTATTGAAGCCCCAAGTTCGCAAACACATAATGCTGCCAGCATTGCAATCAAACCTCCGATACCCCAGATTAGAATACTTAGTTTAACGTCCCCGTCACAGTATTTCAAAACTCCAGTTGGGACGACAAAAATCCCTGATCCTATCATGGTGCTTACGACGAGACAAACACCAGAAAAGATTCCAATTTCTCGTTTTAATTTGATTAGAGATTTCTGTTTTAATGTCGGACTTGCGCCAGAGTGACTTCCTGAATCCTCGTCACCCGAAGACGAATCTTTAAGTGGTATCTTTTCATATTTTGTACGATTGTTTCGTAAAGTCATGGCTGTTATTCGCTGTTCAAAAGCCGCGACTCTCGTCAATCTTGCACTATAAAATTTGCAATTGAATTAACCATCTGGTCCTCTTGCCGATTTTGAACTATTAAACTCTCTATTCAATTGATTAATCTGAATATTTATAAGCAAATCTGTTAGATAAATGGTAAAGGGAATCATATTATATGGGTATGGCTCCGTTTCAGTGAGAACAGGTCATGGATGCAATGTAACAGGTTTGTCGAACGTTCTGAAGGTGATTGAGATTTTAATTTGCAAACGACCCAGAAGAACACTTTCAGCCATTGCCAACACGTCGACCGCCATCGACCGGTCGATTGCAACGTCTCGAGTAGTCAATCGCGTCTGAGGTTGATTGAATTTAATAACATACACTTGAAAATTGACTTGAACTAGTTTCATGCAGCGCCTATTTTGTGTTTTGAAAAAGGACGAATACAGTATTGTAGCCTACAAGCGCTAAATATGATATACACATACAGGGAAAGCCCCTTAAAGCATATCATTACGTAAAAAACGATTTACTAAAAATGCGCACACAGAGCCGAGCTTATTGGCCGCAGAGGTTTTGTTTGCGCGTGTGCAGTTATCTGCATATTCAGTACCCATTCGTTTTTGTGTACGACCTTATTATCGATCAGTCGATCGCGAGCTATTATTAACATTTTAGCCGATCGCGGTCGAATGCTGGTTGGCCACCCCTGCAATATAACATCTAATATCAAAGTAAAAATTAACGGCTAATTAACACATCTCTTTCTATATTTTGACTTGGAAGTTCGCAAATGTTCATTGCAATGAATGTTTCAATAAACACCGCGTGTATCACCTACGTAGTAATATTCTATTGGCCAATTTCTATTTTTTTTTCTTTATACATAATACATAAAGACGGCTGACGTTCTCCATAAGAAATATAACAAATAACGAAAACCCGTGAGTGACGCTTGCATATTCTCAGATCGACTAAAAACATCTAAATCAGGGGTCGGCAACCTACGACACACGGGGTAATATAATCCGGCCCGCGACACTTCACTGAATTATAGTAACAAAACAGCGTTTTGGGCTGTTTTGGCGATTATATTTTTTATGTAACAGAATTTATTGTGAGACAAGTGTAGACAAAACTATTTCATAATAACCTAACAAGTATATAATTCACAATTACTCGTTTAATGAGCCTATAGTTTAATTATAATTAGATAAACGGCAACAAAACACGGAAAAGTTGATGCTAAGTGCAAGGGGTTCAATGGCGCCGAAAATATTCAAATGGAATTTTTGGACGTGCAATGCAATGAGGAAATAAATTTATATTCTATTTGAGAGATGTATCACTGCTTGATTTTTACTCTAAAAAGTATCATCAGTGCGGCCCGCCAGCGACCCCTAATTTTGGCCCGCGAGCGACAAAAGGTTGCTCACCCCTGATCTAAAGGAAGACTTGTTATAACACTGAGGACCGTGTTCTTAAATCCTATAAACCCAATTTCTTTGATATAGTTTGCGAAAATACTTAATTTCAGTTACAGTAACAAAACGCTGTAACCATAACTAAAGACTGTCTCCAGCAGTAATATATCCCAAATTTCGCTTCAACTATCTTTTTGAATGTCTTTAGGTTTAAATATCAAATACCTAAATTGTTTCTACTTTATACTTTTGTGGATGCGAACGACCGTCGAGACGCACACGTCGTGATCGATCAACAAAACAATTCATCTTTGCAATTGATACTGTTAAAAATATTGTAAAATTATTTTGTCAGAATTGCGCTAATGATTTGGTTTCTGCGGGACTAACTACTTATCATTCTTCTATGCTTTTGTGCCTCTGGATTCGTATGCATATAATGTAAGGATGCAGTAGCAAGGGTAAAGTTAACTATCCTAAGTGAATCAAAAGTCCTGCTGCACACTAACACAAATATAATTCTGTAACGTTTCGAATCACTTAGGATTGTTCAGAATTGTTTTTGTTATTTACACCTGACAAACTACTTGAGATCGCCCTAATAAACAATGCATCGAACCCAACATCATTGCCGTAGGAAGTCTGGATAAAAGATTTGCGGTCGATCCCGGTGCGCTGAGCCGTACTACGAGAAACTACGGCCCGCGGGCCAAATCCGACCCACAGGGTAATTCAATTCGGCATGCCTGACGCTGCCACAATCAAACTAGAATCAAATTTTGATGTTTTAGCTAAAAATTGCTTGAGGAATTTGTTAAAATTGCGATTAGATTTAGTTTTGGCACGTGGCTTATTGGTTTCCACTTTTGCTCTCGTAACACTGTAAATATTGTTCATAAAATGTAACTTTTTACGTCACACCTACACGGCCGTCGGTATAAGTGGGCAAAGTTTTTGGCCTCTGGTCAATATACCTAAGCATATTCTCGTTGAAATATATCGTAAATAGTGATGTACGTAAAACTTATAACTATTTATATACAGATATATAAATACACATTCACTATACAGATACAAATAGAAACGCAAGCATATATCGATTGATACATGACAATCATATATCACATATCGAAGCACAACGGATAAATAAAGCAACGGATAAATAAAACACAACGGATGTTATTAAAGTGATGTAATTTGCCGATGGTTGGAATTTAGATTTGGTGGAACCAAAAGAAAAACTAAGAGCTATCATCATCATATCAAAAGCCCAATTCAATCAATTCTCATGCATGACCATTCAACATATTCACCCAATAGACCGAAAAGATTGTCACAGTGGTGAATATCTGGGGTCTTTCGAAGAAAGTCCCCGCCAAAAATAATACCCCGCTAACGTGGTGAGCGCAATGTGCAGAGCTCAAAACGTGGCGGGGGTGTCCCAAATCTCACATTTTCGCATTAGCGGCGTGGGCTTTCTACAACTAATATCTATTTAAACTATAACCTGCACGCAGACCGATAAGCTTGCCCCGACTTTCTCTGTCTAGATTGAAAGTCAATTCAAAATAGCAATTGCTGACAATGTTGACAGACAGAGATGAATTGCGTGAGTCAGAAACCTTATGCAATATAATAAGTAACTAATTAGATTCTGACATTGATTTGCGGCGTCAAACTTGTTATTACACCCGCTACACATTAAAGATCATTGAGTATTAGATTTGTTTTTATACACATTTATAGTATATTCCATTTAACTTTTGCGCAGCGGTCTACCAGCCTATGAAATGTTTTATTGGGGTTTTTCTCCACCAATAAGTTTAAAGAAACTGTTCTATACGCTTTTCGCTCTAGGAAGCAGTCGATATAGGGTAGTATGTGAACCAAGATGGCGGACACCCGAACATAGTATGTGTACCAGGTTAAGCCATAATTTTATTCCAATTTTCCTTATTCTAGTTCTATTACGAGTTTGGGAACTAGCCAAGTGACTCCCGTAGTATTTGTGCCGGAATTTATTGCACACCCAAAACTAAGTATGATCGTAGATGATTAAGCAATAAGGAGAATGAGATTTTCATATTCCGAAAAAGAAATAAAAATCCAATATAATGTTCAACCATGAGAAAAACTTGAACGCCGATTCAAGGCAAACTAACACCTATTATCTGATTAACAACCAAGCTGATATAAGGGATTGGCTATGAGAAATGTATGACTAGATAAGTACCATTAACATCACATTCGAAGCTTAAGTGTAAACCACGTGATAGATGCTTCAAATTCCAGCCATTTCTTTTCACGACGAGTGACATCGTATTTCTGCATCTTTGACTACGCTACGAAATTGAAGCCTTCGGGGGTTTATCAGGTGCAAAGTTTAGTCAGCGCAGAATTGTTTACGTTGTCGCCGATTGGTTTCGATATCCACGCGTATTGTAAGAGTACTGCACGCTGGTTAAGTTATTACACTGATGCAATAGCCGACTCGTACTATCTGCGAGAGGCCGCTGAGGTTGAGTTATACATGTACCCCTAGCATGAGATAATTATGGAATGATGATCTATCGTATTAATCCCACGACGGTAAGGCCATACAAAACCTGTTTGTCTACATACGCTTAGATAAATATTGTCAAAAATTCAAGCAGCCGGCCAGAATAACCGACGTTCACGCATGTCGGTCTATATCCTTCACAGTGCTTCTTTGGTAAGAAAGCTCATAGTTGCGGAAGTAATTATGCAGAAATGTATGACTAGATAAGTGCCTTTGACATAACATTTGAAGCTGAGACGTAAAACACATGATAAAGGCCTAAAAATTCATCGATTTTCATACTCCGACAAAGAGATAAAAGCCAATAAAATATTCAACCTAAACCATCGCCGATTCAAAGCAAACTCTGTGACATATTATCCGATTAACAATCCAGCTGAAGTGACTATGCGGAAATGTATGTCTAGATAAGTACCCTTAACATAACATTCAAAGCTTAAGTGTAAACCACGCGATAAAAGCTTTAAAATCCAGCAATTTTATTTCATGGCGATTGCTATCGCATTTCTGTACTTTTGTTGACGCTACGGAATTGAAGCCCTCGGGTGTTCATCGGGTGCGAAGTTTAGTCAGCGCAGATTTGTTTACGTTGTCGCCGATTGGTTTCGATATCCACGTGTATTGTACGAGTATTGCACGCTGGTTAAGTTATTACGGTTGCAAGAGGCCGCTCGAGTCGAGTTGTAACCCTCGAATAAAATAAGCATGGATTGTTCATCTATCATATTATACAATAATCATTAAATGGGCTGCAGTTGCCATGATAACATGACCCAACATCGAAATTGGTTGTTTGAGTTATTGACCTATTCTTCTCGCCAAACAAACGCTGTTTAACTACATACGCTCAGATAAATATTGTCAAGAATTCAAACACTTGGCCAGAATATCCACCCTTCATGCATGTCGGTTTATATTCTGCCAAGTGCCAAATCCATTTTTTGATAAGAAAGCGACCTTGGTTTTTTAGTTCGTCCAGGTATATACTGATATATTTTCCTTGCCAAACAAAACCTGTTTGCCTACATACACTTAGATAAATATTGCCAAGAATTCAAACACTTGCAGACTTGGCAAGAATATCCGCCATTCATACATATCGATTTATATTATGCCAAGTCCATTTTTAATAATAAAGCATGCATAGAACTTAATTCACTGCCTATGCTCACCAATAGCTAAATGCTGGTTATATTATTACTATTATTATGTATAATATTATTATTATGATGTATCAAGTATTACCACCGGTCTTGTCTAAATTCTGCTCTATGAACAACCCATCTATTATAGACCCGTAACTGCCACTTTATCATCCACAGTACTCATTTGCTTGCCAATTAATTAGTCCTTAACATGCGCAATACAATTCTATTTCATTCTATATTGGCCGATAAACCAAAGAATAGGAAGCGCGTCACGTCATCAGTCTGATCGATAAAATAAACCGAATTGCCCGAGGCTTAGTAAACCATTGAAGCGTGCACTTTCACAATATTGAGGTATCGCTATGCCCGATCGAGACAGCGTTTACCTAACTATTGCTCAGCACTATGTTGCGTAAATTGTCCGATTCAGATAGTTGAAGAAGCGTATTTTTCAGGGTGCCGAGTAGGATAAAGTTCTGCAACTATCCCGAATAACAGGGAATTGTAAAAAAGGGATTGCGAGTTGTTTTGGTAGCAGTCATGTTCTTAATAAAACATACAAAGCGTGTACCTGTTGCGTAAAATGTCCAGATTAGATTATCGAAGATGCAGTTTTATAGGATAGAAAGAATTCTGTAACTATTCCCAATGGCATGGAATTAAAAAATATGAATGGATAGCAGGTCGTTTTGGTATCAGTTTTGTCCATAAATAAAACATACAAATCGTGTATATACCTACTGCTCAGCGCTGTGTTGCGTAAATTGTCCAGTTTAAATTGTCGAAGAAGCGTTGTTCAGGGGCGGAATAGAATAAAATTCTGTAACTATCGCTGATAGCGGGGAATTGTAAAATATGGATTGCTTTGGTAGCTGTCTTGTTCATAATATAACACACAAAGAGCTGTGTTGCGTAAATTGTCCAGTTCAGATTGTTGAAGAAGCGTCTCTTAGAGGTGGGGTTGGACATATAGAATTATGTAACACTCCCTAATAGCAGGGAATTGTAAAGGATGGGTGGATAGCGAGTTGTTTTGCAATACCTAACTATTACTCAGCGCTGTGTTGCGTGGATTGTTCAGTTTTGTTTGTAGAAGGAGCGTCTTTCAAAGGTGAGATAAAATATAAAGAATTCTGTAACTATCCCCAATAGTTTGTGAAGGATGGATAGGGAGTTGTTCTAATACCGGTCTTGACTCTTGTTCGTAATAAAACATACAAAGGCGATATAAAACAAATGGTCCCCTTACATTTGAACCCACGTACATTTGAACCCATGACAATTGCACCTGTATGCTATCGCACCTATGGAATTTTTTTTGTTTTACGGATAGTTGAACCCATACTAACCCTAACCCATGGGTTTACCACCCATCATATAGATTGAACCCGTGGATATACACATGGGTTCAAATGTACGTGGGTTCAAATGTTCGGTCACCAAAACAAATAGCATAGTTTGACCGAGGTTCGATTTCGAATTTCTGTGATTCTAAGTAACATTAGGAAAGCGAAAGACAGAACTGTATTAACAAGTTTCAATTACATTGATTTTATGTGGACTGAGTGATAAGGATACAGTGGCGTATCTAGGGTGTGGCAGCCATGGCTGGTGCCCTTGGCGCGGTTTGGAAATGGTTACAAAAAGCCGCAAAGTTGTAATCAAAAAATGTTATAATTTAAGTTTAAAAAATAACTGAAACTGGTATTTTCACTCAAATAATATAGCAGAAGTATCTCATTTTGAAAACAGTCATTACAAATTGTTAACCAACTATCAAGGGGGTCGCATTTTTTAAACTTTGGCATGTGCGTCATCTCCGTAGACTCCCGAAGTATGTGTGTAGGGAATAGTAGTTATTTATACAGTATTTTTTATAGTAATATTCGGAAAACTTTGAATTAGCCCAAAAGTTTTTCTAATTCGTCATAAACATTTCGGCCTAAAATATTTAATTGCCCCGTTAATAATAATTGGCCCGTTAAAAACAACCTAATTTGCCCTCAGACAATATTAGTTTGACATTCCAGTGAAAAATGTGTGTATCAACACTGCTGGTTGTCAAAGTAGATTTTTCATAGGCTTATATACACTTTGTGAACGGTAATTTCTGCCCTACGGGATAATTTGACATGGATACGTTTGTAAAAGATTCTTAATATTAATTCTTGTTAAGTAATTTAGATGAACGTCATAGCCGAATTATATTATTAAAATCGTTGTTCGAGAACGATTAAAAACTGGAATGTCATAAACAAGTGGACCAATTGCTCTGAAGTGATCTATGGTCTCTATGCGTTAAATTCGTTCTGGTGTGCAACGATTAGGATATCGGTATATTTAAATTGTCATGAATATATATTTAGTTACGCCTTAACCGTACCGATGCTCGATCTTCGTGTTCATATATTTGAGCTTTTATCACTTGTTATTAGTGAAATGCTTATAACTGTCCTTTCAATTTGAGGGGTATGCCAATTTGTTAGCACGGTGGTCAGCAAACTGCGGCCCCGCGTGCCAAACTCTGCGTTTTTCTATTTTAGGATGGCCTCGTTTTCAGTTCATAAAACAAAAATAGCTCGTGCGGTATGTCAACAGCGGCTGTTGTACAGCGTTTCTGTTATAGTAACTAGCGCAAGCGAAAGCACTTTATTTGCTATTACTCGAAATTAACGTAGGAATAAGAGTTTTAGGTGTGTCATAATTGGAATTTTAATGTGACGGACATTGATGTGGCCCGTACGCCACTGAAAATGTGTATATTTCGCTCAATAGTACTTAAAATTGGTCGGCCCACCGCATATTCTGACAGATTCGATTGACCGTAATTTCTAGTCCCTCCGATTAGAACAATATACAAATGAATGCTCTCAGAAGCCGCAATTGCTTGTAAAAACAATCAATTGCTTCCTTTCCCACGACGCAATGACAGATTTGATAAGGTATACGTATATTTTCTTGTTATATCTCGAAATTGGTAGCTTTAGTATTGCAGCAATTGTATTCCATTTATATTTATATATCGTAGATTAAGTTGCGTGCTTCTTTAGCATGAGATTACTGTCAGATTTAGTAAACTGATTTTGCAAGATTAATACTTACTAGTTTGTGGAATTTACTTTGAAACCTTGAAATGCGAAATTAAAAATCCTTGTCAGATTTATAGTAACAAGATGAATTTGAATTGCCCTAATTCAATATTCAGAAATTTGGGCGGAATTTGAGACTAAGCCCGGAAAAGCCAACGTAAATTTATTACGTTTTGAAGTCAGAGAGTCAAAAAATAAATGTAAAGAGTGATATTGAAGAGTCGATCTCAGTATAATTTGACCTCAATTTAACCGACGAATTAAGAAAGTTAGAAATACATAGGGCTGTATAATTTGAATTGAATAGTAAATTGTCGAATCGGTTCAGACAAAAATTTTTAATCTAATTTCCGATTATTTTTTTTTGTCCGCCAACGGTACTCTCGTAGTGTGTGTTCCAGGTTAGGGTTAGATCATAATTCTATTTCAGTTTTCCTTGTTTTAGGTATATTACGGGTTCGCGGACTGCCTGTGTTATAGCCAAGGACCCATTACCATAAAAAGTATTCGAGATTCGATTCTGGAATCATTATGTTTTCGAAAATATTCACCCCTAGAAAGAGCAAGTTCGCTTCGTTTACATTAAGGTTATGATTATTCTGACCAGTTGTGGCTCAATGAGTTCCTCTTGTGGCGAAGTCAGAATAGTACTGACTACTGAGTTAACGAGATTTCGCAATAAGATACGATTGCCACAAGATGGGATACTATCAGTATTCTTGAAAGGGAATATGGTCAAAACGCTCATTTTTATAACATTCACAAAGAGTCTTATCACCATGAGAGACAAACTTAAAACCGTGAACAACAAACTTAGTTGCATTCCTGCTTCAGTTTCTTATCTTAAGAAACGATGTGTTTTTGTTATCTTAGAACTAACTCTGGTTTCTCTGTGACCTTTTTTTTTATCTTATTTCCAGATAGACGTTGTACACAGGAAGACTTTTTATCCAGTTGGCTATTTATATTGATCGGTTTCTTTTTTTATTCAGCGCCCTCTTGGTGACATAATGTTATATAGTAGTAATTGAAATGAAAAAAGTTAAACGAAAAAAGTTGCACGAATGCGGCATTTGTGGTAAAAGTTTTGGACAGATTAGTCATCTCAGGGACCATCGAACGACACACACTGGAGAACGACCTCATAAGTGTGAAATTTGTGGCAAGGGATTTACACAGAACAGTCATTTGAGAAACCATCTGCGTTTGCACTTTCCGGATAAACCACAAAATCAACAGAAATGTGAAGTTTGTGGGAAGGTACTCGGAGATGTGCGGAGTAAGACTATTCATATGAGACAACATACAGGGGAAAGACCATATAAATGTGAAGAGTGTGGAAAAGGCTTTTATCACTTGTTATTAGTGAAATGCTTATAACTGTCCTTTCAATTTGAGGGGTATGCCAATTTTTTAGCACGGTGGTCAGCAAACTGCGGCCCCGCGTGCCAAACTCTGCGTTTTTCTGTTTTAGGATGGCCCAGTTCATAAAACAAAAATATCTCGTGAGGTATGTCAACAGCGGCTGTTGTACAGCGTTTGTGTTATAGTAACTAGCGCAAGCGAAAGCACATTATTTGCTATTACTCGAAATTAACGTAGAAATGAGTTTTAGGTGTGTCATAATTTGAATTTTAATGTGGCGATTGCTTATAGGCGAACATTGATGTGGCCCGTACGCAACTGAAAATGTGTATATTTCGCTCAATAGTATTTAAAGTTGGTCGGCCCACCGCATATTCTGACAGATTCGATTGACCGTAATTTCTAGTCGCTCCGATTAGAACAATATACAAATGAATGCTCTCAGAAGCCGCAATTGCATGTAAAACAATAAATTGCTTCCTTTTCCACGACGCAATGACAGATTTGATAAGATATACGTATATTTTCTTGTTATATCTCGAAATTGGTAGCTTTAGTATTGCAGCAATTGTATTCCATTTATATTTATATATCGTAGATTAATTTGCGTGCTTCTTTAGCATGAGATTACTGTCAGATTTAGTAAACTGATTTTGCAAGATTAATACTTACTAGTTTGTGGAATTTACTTTGAAACCTTGAAAGCGAAATTAAAAATCCTTGTCAGATTTATAGTAACAAGATGAATTTGAATTGCCCTAATTCAATATTCAGAAATTTGGGCGGAATTTGAGACTAAGCCCGGAAAAGCTAACGTAAATTTATTACGTTTTGAAGTCAGAGAGTCAAAAAATAAATGTAAAGAGTAATATTGAAGAGTCTATCTCAGTATAATTTGACCTCAATTTAACCGGCGAATTAAGAAAGTTAGAAATAGCTAGGGCTGTGTAATTTAAATCGAATAGTAAATTGTCGAATCGGTTCAGACAAAAATTTTTAATCTAATTTCCGATTATTTTTTTTTGTCCGCCAACGGTACTCCCGTAGTGTGTGTTCCAGGTTGGGGTTAGACCATAATTCTATTTCAATTTTCCTTGTTTTAGTTATATTACGGGTTCGCGGACTGTCTGTGTTATAGCCAAGGACCCATTACCATAAAAAGTATTCGAGATTCGATTCTGGAATCATTATGTTTTCGAAAATATTCACCCCTAGAAAGAGCAAGTTCGCTTTGTTTACATTAGGTTATAATTATTCTGACCAGTTGTGGCTCAATGAGTTCCTCTTGTGGCAAAGTCAGAATAGTACTGACTACTGAGTTAACGAGATTTTGCAATAAGATACGATTGTCACAAGATGGGATACTATCAGTATTCTTGAAAGGGAATATGGTAAAAACGCTCATTTTTATAACATTCACAAAGAGTCTTATCACCATGAGAGACAAACTTAAAACCGTGAACAACAAACTTAGTTGCATTCTTGCTTCAGTTTCTTATCTTAAGAAACGATGTGTTTTTGTTATCTTAGAACTAACTCTGGTTTCTCTGTAACCTTTTTTTTTTTTTTATTTCCAGATAGACGTTGTACACAGGAAGACTTTTTATCCAGTTGGCTATTTATATTGATCGGTTTCTTTTTTTATTCAGCGCCCTCTTGGTGACATAATGTTATATAGTAGTAACTGAAATGAAAAAAGTTAAACGAAAAAAGTTGCACGAATGCGGCATTTGTGGTAAAAGTTTTGGACAGATTAGTCATCTCAGGGACCATCGAACGACACACACTGGAGAACGACCTCATAAGTGTGAAATTTGTGGCAAGGGATTTACACAGAACAGTCATTTGAGAAACCATCTGCGTTTGCACTTTCCGGATAAACCACAAAATCAACAGAAATGTGAAGTTTGTGGGAAGGTACTCGGAGATGTGCGGAGTAAGACTATTCATATGAGACAACATACAGGGGAAAGACCATATAAATGTGAAGAGTGTGGAAAAGGCTTTAGCGACAATAGTACTTTGAGAAAGCATATGAATCAACATGCAAATAAATTTGTGTGTGAAATCTGTGAACGGTCCTTCGGCTGCAAATCTCATCTTTCCTATCATATTCTCACTCATACAAACGAAAAGCGATTTATGTGCACTGTATGCGATAAATTATTCGCACGCAAAGAGAATTTGAAGTTGCATATGAGAAGGCATACTGATGAATATCAATTCAAATGTGAAATATGTGGTGTCATCAAGGTGCAACAATCTGAGCTGAATAGTCATATGCGCACCCACACGGGTGAAAAACCGTTTGTATGTAAATTATGTGGGAGGGCATTTAGTCAACGAGGTAGTCGGAATACTCATATGAAGACAGTGCACTCCAGCAAAAAGCCTTATGCATGTGAAATATGTGGAAAAAGATTTGCCGTACAAGTTTATGTCAATGCTCACATAAAACAGAGCCATTTAAAATGCAAGCGCGCAAAGACAGACAAAGTTGAACAGGAGCCAACTAATCATATGTATTCGGAACCCACCGTTATTGCCTGTAAGATTGATCAAAACGCTAAATTACAAGCACCCCATATAATTGAAATCAAAGAAGAATTACATTCAGAATATGATCATGAATAACTTGATTATATACCCTAAGTAGTGGTGCATGATCGTCCCGTCGATCCAGAAATGACACAATTCCGGGCGAAAATATTGCCTCTTGAGAATCTATCTCATGAACAGTACTTTTCGATACACAACTGAGGTATTTAAAACAGGGGGCTCGACGGTGGATACGATTTATATTTTTCCTTGGTTCGAGTTGATATTCAGCCTCCACAACCAATCCCATTTTTGAATATTCAACAGCAAATCATTACTAAACTCAACACGGACTGTGCAATTCTGAAAAATAGTTAATTATCTTGTAATGTTTGTAAATGTTTTTTTACACAAATGTGATTGAAATAATTAATGACTTATGTATTCAAATATATAACTTTAATAAAAGCCGAAGAAATAAACATGCATTCTTTACCATTATGACCTTGCACAGCAGCTTCTACTTCCAGGGTTCACAAATGATTTGGAGGTGATGAGCTTTTCATTCATAATATGGAAACAAAATAATAAAATGAAACTACTAGCTATTGTTGTCTATCTCGCACAAGGAAGGAGACAAGCTAAGGTTTACTCTGCAAGCAAGTCTGCAATTCAATCGAAAATAATGCTAATATAAACAAATAGTTCAAGTAACCTCATTATCGGCCATTTGTGCTTATCAGTGTTGGGTGGTTTCATTTAAAATGGGTTCCACAAGCAAATCATATGTAGGGCTGAGCGTTTCAAAACACTGATATGTCGAAACGGCGCTGTTTCGACTTCCGAAACGGATATTATGACCTCATAGCAAATGCAACCTGAAATCAGTCAAGGTATCATTCAGCGATGTCCAACTCAAATTTAATATCCGAGTTTATTCGAATTTTGAGACTCTCAAATATCGTTCTTAGTGATACATTACAAGATAATTAACTATTTTTCAGAAATTACACAATTCCGGGCGAAAGTATTGCCTCTTGAGAATCTATCTCATGAACAGTACTTTTCGATACACAACTGAGGTATTCAAAACAGGGGGCTCGACGGTGGATACGATTTATATTTTTTATTTGTTCGAGTTGATATTCAGCCTCCACAACCAATCCCATTTTTGAATATTCAACAGCAAATTATTACTAAACTCAACACGGACTGTGTAATTCTGAAAAATAGTTAATTATCTTGTAATGTTTGTAAATGTTTTTTACACAAATGTGATTAAAATAATTAATGACTTATGTATTCAAATATATAACTTTAATAAAAGCCGAAGAAATAAACATGCATTCTTTACAATTATGACCTTGTACAGCAGCTTCTACTTCCAGGGTTCACAAATGATTTGGAGGTGATGAGCTTTTCATTCATAATATGGAAACAAAATAATAAAATGAAACTACTAGCTATTGTTGTCTATCTCGCACAAGGAAGGAGACAAGCTAAGGTTTACTCTGCAAGCAAGTCTGCAATTCAATCGAAAATAATGCTAATATAAACAAATAGTTCAAGTAACCTCATTATCGGCCATTTGTGCTTATCAGTGTTGGGTGGTTTCATTTAAAATGGGTTTCACAAGCAAATCATATGTAGGGCTGAGCGTTTCAAAACACTGATGTGTCGAAACGGCGCTGTTTCGACTTCCGAAACGGATATTATGACCTCATAGCAAATGCAACCTGAAATCAGTCAAGGTATCATTCAGCGATGTCCAACTCAAATTTAATATCCGAGTTTATTCGAATTTTGAGACTCTCAAATATCGTTCTTAGTGTTTATAAGAATATTGAATATCGCGCACAAGTCCTAGCGCCGCCGTCCACGTTTTGATTGAAAACATTTTACAATTATTTCATTTTTATGTTTTATCGTAATCGAAGACATTCTTTGCGACGCGCAATAAATTACTGCCGATATGAAATGATTCAAGTCAGCGCGGTCTTGCAGAATTTATAACACGTCGGGGAAGTTTTTAATTGAAAATATTTTACAATTATTATCGTATATTTCAACATAGTCGAGATAATATGGGTTACCGCAGCAATAAATCTAAAATCAAATTTTGTCGTAATTAATCTTTTTCATCTTTAGTTTCGATAGTGACCGAGCATTTCTTGCATTTACCCCGTATGAAATAGCTCTTAAATATTTTTAGTATCTATCGCAGATTTTATTGTCAAACTGGCGTCTTTAATAATAATAATATCGTTGAGTTCAAGTTTGTGGGAATAATTTAAAAACAATAATAAAAGCATAACAGTCGACATGAAATATTTAAATCAGAGCTGACTTGAAGAAAAATAAAACACGATTTTCCTTTCTATTTTCTGTCATTGGCGGATAAAAATTTGTGAATTGGGTACATTCATTTGATTATGACGATGATCGCGTTGTAAGCAAAATAAAAATCAATTTCCCTAGTTGCATGACAGTCAATATTTGTGGGGGGACAAGTGTGGCAAAATTTAGCTTAACGATGTCGATGTCACGCTGACGATAAACAGTCAGAACAAAAATTAGCCGTGTCAAAAATCCGAGTTAATGTTAATTTTACTGTATGATTTAAAGCATTTCTCCGGACGCCAAGTCGTTCTTTTTTTGGTGCTCCCGAAGTATGCGAACCAAGATGGCGGACATCGGAACGTAACATGGGTAACAGGTTAGGGTTAGGCGATTAATTTTTTCCAATTTTCCTTATTTTAGTCCTATTATCAGTTCGAAGACTAGCCAAGAGCCTCCCGTAGTATTTATACCTAAAATTATGGCCTAACCCTAACCTAGTACACATATTACATTCCGATGTCCGCCATCTTGGTTCGCATACTTCGGGAGCCCCCTTTTTTGTGCTTGTCAAGATACACCACAATTAATAACTACCGTAATGTTTATCAAGTCCATTTCCCTAGAGCAAAAATAACTAATTTCAATCAATGATAATATCATGAAAGGCCATTTCATTCGGAATTCAGATTCAAAAATATCTTTTAGAATGCACTGAATCACGAGGATCTGTGGCATTGGATAAAGTAGAAAATGAGCATTGATACGTTGAGGGGCCCCATATGCTATGCTGCTTGTGAGCACCATCTCTTACAGTGACGTAATTTGTATAATTCTGGTGCCATTTGGTCACTGCTTCGTCAAGCAGAAACCTTCGTGGAATTATCATTATCGTTTCATGCTCGCGACTATAGCCTCCAGTGCTTCCTTTTTGTGGCTTCAACTCTGGAAAATATGTGCCATTGTTCACTATACATAAAATTCGATGGGTAATATTGGTGACATGTTTTACTGTATGTGACAAACGTTTGTTTCATTTCGTTTTGATATCGAAACACCAGTGTTTTAAAAGTGCCCAGCCCTAATCATAGGAGGGCTGTCAAGACGTTGTAAAGGCTGGCACCACTGACCTAGAAGTTTAGTTCATATTTAGACTGATTGAGGTGTACGATTAGGATAGAGACCATTAGTTACTACGGGTATAAAAGATATTGTTTTAGACATCGCGGTTGAAATTACCCAGTCAAAACAGAGTATCCGTGACATGGGCGGCAAACCACTGACACCGCGAGTCACGAAGTGACCAACCACGTTTTCCAGTGACCCACTAAATTTGCAAAAAAAATACCAACATTTCAAAGAGAAAAACCTGCCTCAATGTAATCTAACACGAAGCGAACTATTATAAATGTAATGCCGCAGCCAGGGCTTCGAAATTTCGAGCCGGCGTGGTAATTTTTTAAACCCCGAAAACAGAAATTACCGGTAAGCTGGTCAAAATGACTCGAAAAGAAAACCAGAAACATATGGTGATATTAATAATGAACCATTGCTCTATACATGTTACCAATTGGCTGATATTATCGAAATTCCTGATCCCCGCCCGAACGCACAATATGCATTACGAATATGCCGCTTACTGTAATCAGTACATCGGTTATTGTTATCAATTCTCTACTGGTAGTTGTACAAATTCTGAGCACCACCCTCCAATTGAACGCCACCTTTAATAGAACACCACTATAGAGTAAGAGTTGAAAAATGGAGCGCTATGGGGTGAAATAGAAGTTTCACGGTAGGTCAATGCGATCGATCATTTGTCTGTGTGTTGATAAATATAGACAGCAAAATGCTGTAAATTAAGAAACTGATTTCTTATTATTGCACTGCAAAAAACATCTTTTGTTAAGTACTTTCAATAGTGTGATTCTAAATTAAAGGAATGTTCGATTATCATTTTAAGGGCCATGTTAATTTTGCAAATGATTCGATCGGAGATAATTTCTGACGCTCGGCTAGAGAAAATATACCAACTAATTTTAACAGGGACCGCCGCGATTGCGTGCGAAAATAGCCTATTTGTCGCTTTTTCGTGTCTATAAAAGTAATAATTAGTCTTATTCCGATTTTATATATCTGGAACACTTTGACGCGAGAAAGTGGAGAATGAAAAGGGAGTAAAAAAAACGTAATCAACCCTAGTATAACACGGGCTCGATAGAAGATTACCTTAAAATATATTACTATCTGTATTCGTAAAATGAAAAACAAGATAAAAAAAGCTCAGTCCTCGCGTTCACGAAAAATCTAGCGCCTTTGACGATAAGCTTTGAGCCTTCACGTTCTCGAGTAAACTAGTGCTATGGATAACAAACGTAGTTCCATGCTTGCTTTAGTGTCTTATTGGACACGTAGTGGACATAACGATCGTTTCAATATTATGTTGTTCTTGTTCTTGTTGTTATTTGACACAGAATAACACACCTAGTGGAAATATTAAAAAAACAATTTTCTCTTCGAATACTGGACCAATTGCTTTGAAATTTTCAGTGGTTGAAGATAAAATTTTTCCCCATCTTTTATTCATTTTAAATATTTCTGTTAGCTCTGTGAGATTTGTTTTTGTTTGCTATGACGTCATTAAACGTTCTGCGGACATCGGACGCCATTTTGTATCCTACTGTACTGCTTCGCTTGGTGTGAATATATTTGTAGACTGTGATCTGACGGTACGGTACACCGTACTGTACTGAGAACAGACGTGTCCATATATTTGGGCGTAGCTCTCTTGTCTTAGGTAGCGATATTTACATTGCATCAAACTGTGTTTTATCAGTGGTAGTGACTTTTATTATCTAAAATCATAAGTAAAGATTGTGAATGTAGACAATAAAACTGTTTATTCGTTTGTGTTGTATATATATCTTGATCAGCTACTTTTCATTCAATATTCTGATTGAATACATTTAGGTACTAGCAACTAAAATGGAAGAAATGGCTATACAAAGTAAGTCTCACGAATGCGGTATTTGTGGTAAAAGTTTTCGTTGGATTAGGCTTCTCAGAAATCATCAAACGACGCACACTGGAGAACCACCACATAAGTGTGAAACTTGCTGCAAGGGATATACCCAGAATAGTCGCTTAAAATCTCACATGAGATT